AATGGAAAACGACTCAGTTCAATTTAATTTGAGCACTGACCGAATCACATAACCGGACATTGTTGGCAATAGCGTCCACATGTGGACGTGGTTCTCAACGGCGTCTAGTTCTGGACGTTGTTATTCATGGCGTCCTTCCTATTTTTAAAATTTTCACACACCCTTTACCAAGTTTCGAATTACAAAATTATTAATTATTAATTTTAAAAAAATCAAAATTTTATTACCACCCCCTAGTCGCAGACCTGGCGTGGCGTCACAAACAGGGACAGATCGATCGATATGTGTATATCAGTTATCTCGCGAGTCAATTTTGTTTCAACATTGGACACCGGACCATTCGAGAAAATGGGAAACGGAGTAAGAGCATCTACAGCCGGACCTCTCAAAGCCGTCTCATACGTCCGGGCAGGCTGCTCGGTCACGTTTTTTGGATCCAGGCGGATGCCCCAAACGGGTCTAAAACGCCTGGACTGACAGGCACCCCCCATATCCAGCCCAAATATGGAGCGGATATGGGGTGGACCAGGCACGCCTGAGGCGTCCGCCTGACAAGCCCGGCCCACCACCGATCCCACGGATGTCCCACAAAAAACCCCATCGACCTCATCGGTCTGAAACCCTAGCTCACTCACTCTCCTGTCTCGCTCCGTCCTCTCCTCTCCCCTCACCAATTTCGATCGAATCTGACGCAATGTCGAGCTCTGGCAGCTGCTCCGACGACGAGGTGGATTCGGAGTATGAGTTTGCCCTCCGCATCGCCTTGGAGCGGTCCAAGGTGGAGACCGAGGGCAGCTCCGGATCTGCAGCCTCGCCGCAGCCGCAGCTTCCCCGTCGATGCATCTCGGAGCCGGCGCTGGCCCCTCCTGGCCCATGGGCAGCTCCGACAGGCGGCCAGCGCAATCGGCGCCTCCCTTACGCCGTCCCCTCGCCCTATCGGCGGCTACTTCCCTACGCCGTCCCCTCGCCTTGCCGGCTGCTGCTCCCCCTCATGCGAAGTGGTGGGTGCTTGTGCCTGCCCCGCCGGCCTGGACGCGCATGCCGGAGTCGAAGGCGCGCGCCACCCACTGCGAGAGGCAGCGAACAAGAGAGAGGGAGGCTGCGGAGAGCTCTGTCCTCCGCCGGCGTGTGTTACCGGCGGAGCCCGACGAGGACCAGCATCTCCTCACGTGGGTCTACCGTCGGTCACTTACGATGGGGGAGACGGACGCATGGCGACTCCGCCGGAAGAACGCCAAGGCTCTTCAGCTTGCCATCGAGCAGTCCGAGCGGGAGCCGTTGGAGAAGGCGAAGGAGGCGGCTCGGCTGGCCAAGCTCAGGCGCCGGTAGGACCGGGCCGTCCAGCGCCTCAAGGGCCTCGTCATCGTCGACTCCTCCTCTGACGACCACGGCTCCTCCTCCGACGAATCGGACGATCCTCCACCAGCCGCCGACGGGTACAGCTACACCGGCAACCAGAACAGGAAAGGGCCGGCCCGAAAGTGGTGAAGTTGATTTTAATTTCAAGTTTTAGATATAGTATAAAGTTGTTCGTCGTTTATGTGAACTTTGGTGGATCTTTTGGTGAACTATTGTGCTATTTCTATGTCTGAAACTGATCTACGTAGTTTCATCGATGTCGATTGATATAATATGAATATAGGAGTTCGGATATAAGAGACACGTATGTAAACATGTGATTTGAGAAGTGTCCGGTCACTGTTCATGAATGCATTCGGGCGTGTCCGCGGGCGTTCGAGGGCCCGGATTTGTTAAGTCCAGCCGTAGATGCTCTAACAAGACATGCTTCATCGGTGTAATCGTTTGCTAGCACGGATGCTGTGGGCGGTTTAATCGTGTGCTCTCGCAATGCCTTGCTCAGAACTATCAGAAGTGCGAAGGCGTTGTTTGGATACGTGATACGTATAGAACTGGTTCTCCACAAATTAGGAAAACGATGTAATAAACTAAAATCCTGTTTGACAACTCTATCTAATCCGTGAATATAAAAAATCTGGTTTTCCATAATCCAGGATTTCGGATATATGAAAAAATGAGGATTAGTTGTTTTTCTAAAAACGCGATCTGGATATACTTGATCGCTAATTTTTTCTCTGCGCCCGTCCTTTTCTCAACAAACCCGTTGATGCGTGTGGGCGAAAAGCCTATCCAAACCAAACAAGGAACGTGACAAATCGATCCTAAGTTTTCTCTAATCCAAACATCTTTTTTTATAAACTGATTACACATATAACAATTGATAAAACCAATTTTACTAAAAATTGGCTAAAAACTAGTTCTATATAATCCCGTCGCTACCCAAACAACGCCGAAATGTTAGTCTCAATACGCCAATGAAAGAGAACCGGTTCCTCGTTTACAACCGGTCGCTCTGCCGCTTTCATCGAGTTGATCCATGCTAAGGGCATCTCCGACTTACAAATTTGCTCCTGTATCCGTCTGTGAACAGAGGATTAGTCCATGAACACTAACATAGAAGCCGGCCATCCAACACTGCTCACATATATTTTAAACCACATTTGAACTAATCAAATAAAATTCATATAAACATGTCGGATTTTATTAAAATTCGAACATAATTTACATAAAAAGATTTATATTTCAACCGTTAAACTAAAAACTAGAAAAAAGAACTAAACATTATACCGGACGATCACCTCATACGTGTGACCGTCCTGTCCTACCACACTATCCTCGCCGCCTGTGCCGTCTTCACCGTCGTCCCTCCAGCGGTGGAAAGGCGCCGGAGGGCCACGACTGCCTTGTCTAGCAACTGCCTGCAGCTCACGAAGGAGCCGGTCCGCCTCCTGTTCCATGGTGTGGGGGACGCCGCGGCCACTGGCAGTGCCCTTGCCCAGCGAAGCAGTCGCTAAGCGACCAATCCTCGCCGTCAAGGCGGCGGCGGCGCCCAACGGCCATCTCTGCGGTGGTGACGGAGTGGTCGAGGACCCACGCGGTGGCGAGGTCCAGGTCGTTATGGACCCATTCCGGCGTCATGTCTGTCTTGGCCAACTCGGAGTGGCGGGCGGCGTTGCACCAATCGTACTGTGCCTTGCGCTCCTCCTCGGAGACGACTGCCCTGGAGCCGAGGGACCGCCAACACCGCCGCCTCCGGGGTAATGAAGGACGTGGCCCCGCGCCTTTGTTATCGCGGGCGACAACTCCTCCTTGGCGCAGCGACAGTTGCGGCAGGGTAATTATGCAGGCCCGCCAATGTGGGCGTATCAGCTGTGCGTCGCTGGTGACGTGGACTCGTCCTTGATGCGGCGTCCGATCTGGACGCCGCAGTTGCGTGTTGGCGAGGCCAGCTCGTTCTAGACGCGTCGTCCAATCTAGACACCGCTGCAGTAGTGTGACGGGGATGGTGGCTCCTCCTTGACCCGTGCCAACAATGGTGGCGTCGGTCCATCTGATGGACGAACTCTTCGTCCGTCAGAGGCACGGCCGCTGCTACGGCTGCTGGGCTTATTATTCTCCTAGTCGCCAAAGGAGATTCCGACCGCCGTCGTTCAGTCGCTCTTATCAATAGATAAAATTTTAACAGATTTTTTGTCGGCAATAAGGAAAAATAATCATGATTTGTCGGTTGCTCGTACTGAGTTTTAAGAGTTGAAATTTAACATTTATTTTAGAAGCTTCTTAGAACATATTTAAAATGGTTCTTATTTGAAAGCCTCGACATGAGAAACACACGAATATGAAAATAAAACTTTATTTAGACTTTGTATTCAAAAGATAAGAAAGTTTAGAAATCGAAAGTCAAAAGAAAAGGCACGTGCGAGTAACTTGGTGTCCCAACGTCTGCTTGCCACAAATTCTCTTCCGTACAAGCCATGTTCTGCACTCGAGTTGTTCGTTGGCACAGTGATACTATTTTCTTTTTTTAACACATCAGTATAAACACAAACGCTCATACATACATGTATCGTTGGCGCGATGATACTATTTTGTTGTTTTTCCAGGGAAATGGAGTCGATGATTATTCCCGTAAACCAGCTGAAAGATAATAAGTAATGTTATTCAGCTGAAGTTTGTTGGGAGGGGATGACAAATCGAATATTTTTTATTGCAATTTATATTGTCGCTAAGATGGTAAATTTGTTTACAAGCACGACAAATCCAGCACCGGCCAACATAAATTGCCTTGCAAATCGTTAGCAATTGCTATAAGCCGGTCCAGGATAAATAAGATGCTAGCAACTAACATCGAAAGCGACACATTGGATTGGACTCGCAGGTTGATGAGAAAAGACAGCGCAAGTCATTTACGGCAAGCTCTAAGGTACAATCATCAAGAACACACACACAAAAAAAGGTGCAATTCCAATCTCCATCCACAAGCCAGCCATGAATCCATTCTACTCCGATGATCAGACCAACAAGCCAGGGCTAAACAAACAAATTGAAGTGACCAACGACGACATTTACGGGTCAGTTCACTCGGTGAAACCAAGTCCACAAAAGTGAAAAGAAAAAAAACTATACAATCTACAGCACCCCAACCCTACTGATTACAGAACATATACCCACTGTTATACTATACAACCCTCCATCTTGACCGTTCCCTCCTTTCATACGGTATACAGCTTCAGTTTTACCTCTCTACCTCCATGGGCTTTGTGCCACCGCTGACCATCTGCCCGTAATAAGTACTTTTCGCGGCCTCCATGTCATCCTCGTCCTCGTGATCGTCCCCGACGCTGAACCGGCCGCCGGCGGGTCCTCCCTTGACCAGCGGCAAGTACTGCGGCTCCTCGGGGTACAGCCTGCTGACCTGGAGGTAGAGCACGACGACGAACACCATGGTGCCCGTCAGGTACCAGCTGAACTGCAGGTTCACCAGCGCCTTGGCGCGGTGGAGCGCCTCGTCGGTGCGGCACCGGACCACGTCGTGGCCGTCCTCGTGGTTGAGGAAGCACCCCTTGGAGACGAGCCCCGGCGTCCAGAGCATGACGCCCATGACGATCAGCCACACGCCCTGGAGCACGAGGCTCGCGGACCTGACCAGGCTCACCACGAAGCTCCGCGGGCACGGGATGCCCAGCAGCGTGGTGGCCAGCGTGACGGCGACGACGGTCTGCAGCAGCCAGTGGAACTGCCCCTCCACGCCCATGTGGTCCGTGGAGTGGAGGTGGAAGACGAGCAGCTCCTGCGCGAACGCCGCGGCGGCGGCCAGCTGCGACACGGCGTCCCGCATCGGCGCCCGGACCCTGTCCATGTGGATGGTGACCGCGGCGAAGGCGAGCAGCGCGAGCGAGACGGACGCGTGCTCGAAGTTGTGGAGGTGGTCGGACGGGATGGTGCCGTCATCGTCGAACGGCTGGTGCTTCGCGGGGCCGATGACGAGCTCCATCAGGATGGACGCCGACGTGCCGGCGATGATGAGGATGAGCTCGAGGTGCCGGACGCCGCGCGCGGGGAACCAGAGCGGCGCGGCGTAGGAGTCGGGCCGCAGCGCGAACAGCCGGATGTGGTTGAACAGCTGCCACAGGCCGATGAGGAGGAAGCCGGCGCCCGGAGCGACGTGGCCGACGAGGGTGCCCATGGCGACGGCGGCTGCGAGGGAAATTTAAACGCTGGTGGTGATCAGCTGCGTTTGGAGTTTGAATGGCTGATGGGAACCATCATGGCCCATGGGGTTTAAGAAGGTTGGATGGTCGACTCTCTGGAGAGTTCCGGTGGCTTGCAAGGTTTGAAAAGTTGTCTTATTTTACAAAAATGGATTTGGACAATCTCAATCGGCAGCACTTCAGCAGTGATGTGTTATTCCGGTAGCTTATCTTTTTCAATCCCTTTCTCATTCTGTTTTGCTTACTTGCTTGGGCTTCCAAGATGAGGGTTTTATTTCTCTTTTATTTGCGTGCGGTGTAATACGACTAATTATTTATTCTCTTGAAGATTGTTGAGTACATTAGTTAAGATAAGATAGTGATGAGAATGAGATCCTCTAACGTTAGTATTTCTAGTTCAACTAGTGTTGATAATCAAGCCGTTGTCTCCATAGTTTGACTTATATTACACATTTCTCACTAAGGTCTCCATAGTTATTTTTTGTTTGTCGTAGCAGCACGGTTGTTGTAGCAAGGAGTATCAATTTAATTGTTCGTGCATGCAATCAATTAATTACTACTTTTAAAATGAAAAACATCTTTTTGTTTTGCTTCTTCGGCTATTTTTGTGTGTTGCATAACGTCTTGTAAGCTCAGGATGGTGTCTAGACAAGAAACATTTCATAGGATACTTGCACACGTATAATTAAACAGATAAGCCTAAGATGATGTCTAGGTAAAAGACATTTGGTAGGGCACTTGCACTTGGATAATTCACTAGACACTCGAACTCACATCCCCTTAATCTTACGTCTCAATGGCAGGGATGTCGAGATGTCCACGCCAACCGCGTTTGTTGTTTCTGACAAAAGAAATACTTTTCAACAAAAAATATATTTTTTGGCCCATCCGATTCATGCTGATGTGTTTGCTTGTGTAAGCCTAGGACGGTATCTTAAACCAGGGATTTGGGTGAAGTGCTTTAAAAAAACTTGCACGCACACAATTAAGCGAAGAGAGGTACACGCTGAAACCTATGTCTCCTTTCCCCCCTAAGAGTGCGGTTAATAATATAGCTAGTTGTTCGCTATAACGTGTTGTTATGTCATTCATAACCAATGTAATAGTCAGCATGTATAATAGTTGGCTATAAGAGCAAGTATAGTAAGGTGACATAAGCAGGTTATAAGGACTAAAATATTATATCTGTGCTTAGTCGAAGGAAAGAGAAGAGGAGAGAGAAGAGAAGCAGGCTCTTGATTAGTAGCCAGCTGCAGCAAAAGCTCGAAGACACTTTGTGAGGCTGTAAAATGAGCCAACTATTAATAAAATAGTACACGTTCAAAATTTACTATTGTACATGCCGGCTATTAGGTTCGTTGTAAATGACATGTCAACTTCTTATAGCCGATTGTTGGCGTATTATTAACCATGCTCTAAAAAGATACTATTTTGTCAACATATGACACATCTTTCACTCTTACAAAGTTTCTTGAAGCATGAGCTAATGTAAGTCTATAACTCGCTTCTTTTCTCTCTCTTCAAACTCGGTAAAAATACTATATTTAAATCCTTACATCATGTTTACATCATTTTATTATATTTGCTCTAAATCCTTCACGGCATGGAGTTCAAATGTCCACGGCAGCCGTGCTGGTGTTTCAACGGTTGACGTTAGCCCGGTTCCCACGGTGCCCGTGTCCGAGTTGTGTTACCGTGACGGCGTGACGTGTGTATGTATGCATGATCGACAGCTACCGCGTTGGCTGTGCCGAGCGGTGACATGTCATCCCCGAGTGACAACTGGCCACACACCGGCGCCGCCGTGGATCGCGTGATCCGTCTACTAGAAGCACGCCGGCCGCGGAAAATCCCGGTCGTGTCGCGCCGCCGGGGCGGGACTAGCTTGGTTGCACTTTTCTGACCTGGCCGCGGGGAAGACGGAGCTCACGTATGGCTGCGCTTTTGGTCGGGGTCGGTTTCTGGGCAGCAACCGGTTTTTCTCATTGCCGGTCTCGTGCTTGCTGCGAACCTAGTAGTTGTAGAACAATCACGTTCTAGAAAGGGTACGACTTTTTTTTAGCTGAGAAAGGGTACGACTTGTGAACTTGGAACACAACTCTTCTATATTTCTTCCGTCTTTTTTAACGCGATACATGCGCATATACATTCATCCTATGAACGCATGCACGCACATCCTGCTTCTATGTGCCGGCACATCATCTTAAGGTTGATGAAGTCATCACAGATGTTTTTGTAGTCGACACGAAAGTCTTCTCCCACTGACACACATCACCGAAAGGCCTAAAATAAATTCAAAAAAATAAGACCACCAATGCCAAGTCTAGAATTTGAACCATGGTGAATTGATGTCGTCACAAGAAACCAAGCCATCTAAGCTATAGATGCAGTTCGCATCTATGTCCTTTTTAGTGTACGCTCTGCCTTAGAGTGTTCGAAGACTCTCGACCAGTAAAATCGATGATGATTTGTTCATGAATAATGTCAGAATTGTTCACGAAGACAAAAAGCACTCCTTGCAACTAAAAAGAAGAAGAAACCCTAAAAAACTAAAAAGAAGAAGCACCATTGATCAAAAGATATATTTTGCAACAAAAGCTCAGAGGCAGGAGTTAGAAACATAAATACTCCCTCCGACCAAAACTAACAGCCTTTTTGGGGACAGAGGGAGTGGTAAATTAGAAGAGTACATCGTTCAACACCATCCTAAGCATTATCTAGAAAATGTTTGTCTGAAAAAGCATCTATACCAATATAGAAAGACCCAAAGGGGCAAATCCAACTAATCTCGGTCATCAAACTAAGTCAATCCAATGACCTAGACTGCTCCAATGGCGAGCGTTAAACGTGTTCAACGTATAATTAATATCATACCAAATATTGCACTAAGCACAGAATTAACACACAAATAATAGTATACATAATATCCGCATGCAATTAATATGTTGCCTAAATATTAACGTGTGTTGCATATGTGCATTTACTAGTTATCTAGAAAAACACCATCCTGAACGTTATCTGAAAAAGAATTCCACCCTGAGCTTCAGATGGGATGAAAATGAAAGCTAGCTTCCTTGCCTTGCAAGAATCTGTAACTTGCCACGGCTGACCGCTAATTACAAATCAAACCCGAAGTCAACACCTGCCGAATGTCGCATACGGTATCTAGACTACTTTCCATCACAGAGCTAAGTTCATATTGGTACTCGCCACTTATTTTTATTCATTTTTTTACTAAACACAGGAAGTTAGAATTAGTGGCCAACGCAGAATCCACCTAAGCGCTGAGGTCAGCGTCTGACGGCTAGGCAACATGATCATCTCACGCTTCATCTGCCCGAGCTTTCTGGTGGCAAAAACCGTTAAGTCCGCCGAGCCTGAGTAAAGACAAACGCTGATGAAACAGCAAACCATGATTGGCATCTTATCTTATGTTATCTTATAGATTAAAGCGAAGCTAAAGTCGGTAAGAATGCAGTAAACATCATTTGATGTTCATAAATGAGGTGCCTACTCCCCTAATTAAAAAAAAATAAAGTGCCTACTTTTTTTCCAGGAAATGAAGTGTCTACTTCGTTGCAAAAAAGTATCACAACTCCTAATTTGGGACAATAAGGGCATCTCCACCGGTGAGCCCTTATGTAGGCGGTTAAAATCAGCATGCACAAACCTCGGTCGCTAGGATTTATATTTGTACTTCTTTTTTAAGCGCCCTGACTCCTCCCTGAACATCGATGCCAAGAAGCGAACCATGTATAGCATTAAAACTGCCAAAAAAGGCAAGGATTTAATCCCTAGCCCCACATACTTAGCGCCCGCATTGTAATTGGCCTAAAACTATGCACGTGTTCAGCCCTCTCGGGCTATCAGTGAATTTTGGACACTGGATTTCCTTTCCAAGATGCTATACTAAAAGGCAACCCTGAAACTTTTGTAAATTTGACGTCATAGAATTTTACCTCCTCGAGAGGGCCCGAACCTGGATAAACACCGTGTCCCTTGTCTCCTGTTACCCATCAATTCGATCTCACAACTCGGGCCTCCTATCCGAGGTATGTCGGTTTTGACACTGACAATGATCAATGCGGCTAAGAATGGGAATGGGTCGGCCATGCAATAGGCCAGTGACGACTGGCCTCATGTCTCGTTGGACAAGCTGGTCCTATCCCACTCAAACAAATTTGCACTAGATTTCCACACAAAAATAGCAGCAATACAACAATATCATTTGAAACAACATCCACTTAGCATCATGAATTTTTTAGCAAGTTAGGATTTCTAGATTTTATTCGTTCAAAGAACACAAAACGGTACAAATGGAACATCGTTTCTATTTTATACCATAAAAACGTTAGCACCAAAAGTTCGCAGATTTATAATTATGAAAGAAAAGTAATCTTGGGCCAACTGTTCAAAAATTACCTATAAACAGAACTCTAACAACCCTTGCGGAGGCATGTGCTATTGTAACGACATACTCCTCAACCCTGGGTAACAATTTTGGTCGACCCACTTGTCACGATGGGACGGTGGTGATCAGCTCGCTGCCCAGTTTCCACATGAAACTGACCAAAAAAGACCTATTATTGGCCATGAAACATTGGATCAGGCCCAGTGTCCAAGTGGGTAACGTCGGCCCATTCTTATTGGCCATTGTTTTAAGCATGCATTCGGAAAGTGTATCTTCTTCTTGAAAATTTCCACAGATTGTAACACGTCTCAGAAAAAACATTCTATAAATTCTATTTTTTATTAATGTGATTAACATATAATGATTTTTAAAATGTAGTCATGTATACCAATAATGGGCTGGTCCAATTATCCTTCATATGCACGGGGCCATGGCCGACAGGGACCTAGTTACAGGGAGCGGGAGCGACTATACATCGCTTGACGCGAGGTGGAGCAACCGCTTGAGTCAGGTAGTCTCAAAATGGCCCGGCCTAGGTAGGTACGAGGTAAGTTTGTCTTTTCT